TATTTAGTAAGCACTTCTTCTAGGAAGAAAGGCAGTCCATGTTTGTTTACTGGTCGACTTCCAGAGGGGTGGGCCAAACAATGAGGTGGACCTTAAAAAGAAACAGATTTCAATCTCTAATCTTTTGTACAAAGGCCCCAGGCAGTCTTGCGGGAGTTGAATTCCCCTGGCAGAAATTAAGAGACAGGGGACCAGATGGCTAGTAGGATGTTTTATAATGCAGATTCTTCATTCTCTAAAGAATTTATTATTTTTTAAGGCCTTTTCTGGGTTGGTAGAATTAGGCCAATGCCTGCATTTTTAAAACATAAATCATTGGGCAGCCTCTTAGGTTAGCCTCCAAGACTAACCACATCATTTGCACAATTATCTGCATCAAGGCCAGGGCTTTTTACCAAATAGCGTGCCTCCGAATTAATACAACATTCTTCGTGCACTTTAGAGTTGATGTATTTTTTTTTCCTATTTGTAGGATGAGTTGATTTGATATTCCGAAGAATGAAGGATTGCCCTGGCTTGGCTTGAGTTCTTGGCTACCTTATGTTTAAGCGAAGGATGGGAACACAAGAAGGTCTTAAAGATGCCTACATGACTTTTACCAAACTAATGTTAAGTGCACTGATTTTTTTTATTGTGGTTAACATATACATTAGCCATAATATTTTCCATTATAAGCCATTCTAAGTTATACCAGTCTTGGTAGCCATTAAGTTACATTCACATGTCATGCAACCACCACACTGGTTCATTTCAGAACTTTTTTGTAAGTCCATGGATTTATGTTTTTGTTAACATAGCCCAATATAGGACCATTGGCAGCCTTGTGTCTCAGGGAAATAAAAGGTTGAATTGAATAATAATGGAAAAAAAAGTGGTCAGCATGGTTATATTTAAATGATGTATTAATTAATTTATAAGCCACTTGCTAAGTTTTACCAAACACTATAAAAATGTTGGCGAATAAGAAAGTTATGGTTTGTGTTCCCGCCTGAAAGGAGATTATTCTAGTAGGGGGGTTATCTGGAAAACAAATAAATTTACAAATGTGATGTGAGCTACAAGCACTTGATTTGACAAGTAGGTACTGGTGCTTTAAAAGATAAAGACAAAGGATTTGTGGTTTAAGAATCTTCTAGGAAATGTTTGGATTAGACAGTTAGTTTTCAAAAGCAAAGGTATTTATACAATTATTTTAACTTAGGAAAAGGAGCTGAAATTAAACTAGGATATCGCTGGTTTTTCTTTCCAATTTTAAAAATTAACCAGGGAAGGGCCGGCGCTGTGGCTCACCCGTAATCGCTAGCTCTTGGGAGGCCCGAGGCGGCGGTTTGCTCGGGTCAGGAGTTTCAAAACCAGCCCTGCAGCAAAGAGCGAGACCCCACGTCTCTAGCTATAAATAGAAAGAAATTAATTGGCCAACTGAGATATATAAAAAAATTAGCCGGGCAATTGGGGCGCATGCGCTGCTAGTCCCAGCACTCGGGAGCTGAGGCAGAAGGATCAGCTCGAGCCCAGAGTTTGATTGGCTGCTGTAGCCCTAGGCTGACGCACCGCACTCACTCTAGCCTGGACAAACAAACGAGACTTCTGTCTCAAAAAAAAAAAAAAAAAAAAAAAAAAACCAGCGAGGATAGTGCTGTTCGTTTTGATGTTAGGATGTCAGGTTCTTTTGTGTTAAAGGATCTTGTTTATGAGAAAGCCCAAGGATTTTTTTAATTGAAATACACAACAAATATTAATTTAAATGTTACTTTAAGATAGTGCCTTATTTAAGAATATAGGTAAGAAGTACTTTAAGAAGCTGCCTATTTTAAAGTATGCGGCGTGCCTCATTTAATTATTTCTTTGCTGTAAATTTTGGCATTAATTCTTATGGGGAGGTACGCCCTAAACCAACAGCATCAAATGATGATTTAGTCAGTAGATGGATGAATGAGATTGTTTTTGGCCTTGAGCTGACCAAGTTGGAAGATAGGAGTAATCTTGGCCAGTTTTAAGAGAATGCCAGCAGGTTTGTATTTATAATGTATATTCTCCTTACGGTTTTATGGACTTTAATATCATTTGCCCATAATTAATGATTCAATTTGGATGATGATTATTCATTTTTATCAATATTTTGAAATTGGCCTGGCTGCGGCCCTCGGGCACTTAGGAATTTCCACCAAGAATAAAAGCAGAGACATTGGGTTGTTTTTGGCCCTAAAGAGCTTAGATTCTATTCATTCAAGGCCTCTTGGTAGCAGGTTTGCGTCAATTGCCTGATAGGAAAAAGGCAAAATTGATAATGTTTTTAAGTTTATGGCCGTTCATTTATTTTTTTAATTCTAGAATATCTAATTGGGCATTCTTAAAAGCAAGCAGTGCCCTTAGGAGGTTGGTAAAATATATTGAAGAACACAAAAACAAATTTGGCCCACCACATGGATGGGCAGGCATTTGGAGTTTGGGAGGAAGGCATACTAAACAGATAATTCTATAGAATTAGAATGACATAATAAGCGATAACGTAAAATAAGTAAGTTATCTATAATGTTTGGGTTGGTAGTGAAAATTTGGAGAAAAATACAGGTAGGCTGGAAGCTAGCAAGTGGCTTGGGACGGGGCACGACGGTGGGCAGTGATGAGGGAAGATCTCTTCCGGCTCATACGTTGTGACAATTGAGCAGGAGACCTGAAAGGAGGGAGCGACCCAGCCATGCGGCGTTCTGATGGAAAAGAGGCATTCTTTAGGCGTTAGGTGGAAGTCTCTTAGCTTAGGACTCATGGCACGGCTGGGAGGAAAGGATTTTCTCACGCAGCGGCTAAGATATTAAAGGATGAAAAGTTTATGTCGTTACCTTCTTTAGAAGGAGGAGGAGGAGCGAGGAGGAAAGAGAAGGAAGAAGAAGGCAGGGAGATGGCATGGCATACCAAAGAAAAAGAAGAGATGCCAATGTGGAGGCAAGTGGCTTGCCGTTGGATTTTAAGGGGGACAAAGAAGCAAAATATAGCGATGGCTGTCAGTTGATAACAAAAGGCGGCAGCAGGTAGGGTAACAAAACTGCCGAAGGATGGTCAAAGCTTCCAAGTCCGGGTTTCCTGCCTTCGTTCCTTGAGAAGGGAGTTTCATCAGGAGATGCTGACTCTGTGCCCTGGTGGAGACGATTGGCCGGGGCTGGCGGGTTCGTTTCTTCCGGCTGGTTTTCCGAGGCACTGGTGTAAAAGCAGATTTTCTTCAAAAATAATTTTGAAAGGGAGAGATTTACATTCTTTTTTTCATCCATTTCCGCCTCTTTTTCCAAAGTGTGCTCCTGTTGGAGACAGAGACTCGGGTAATTGATCTTTCAGTCGTTTTTACTTGGCCCGGGCAAAATTGTGGGCAGTGGTGTTCTCTTGGTTTAGTTTTTTGCAAGGCGGCCCCCTGATTTGCTAGGCCAGAAGGATTCGCAACCATTGCAGGGGAATGGCTTAATCAATGGCTGTTTTCTGTTTCCTCCAATACATATTGCCTAATTAAGAGTGATTCTATTGTTATAGTCAAGTTCGCCGGCTGCGGGGGACAGAGAACAGAATCATTGAGGCTGTAATATCAAAGGGCAGTTTTGATTGTCTTAGCTCGAGGCTAGGCGTTTCGGAGCCCCCCAGAGTGCCAGCGAAGTGCCTCTTTTTTGGCCCTGTTTTTGTGTGGCTAGTGAGCCTTTTTATACTTAAACTGTGTGTAACATACTGATCGATGCCATCCGCCCCCTTACAGCTGATTTTTTACTTTTATCCTTGCCGC